GGTATCCTTACACACAGCAGGTAGAATTGTAAATTAGTTAAACCTTCCAGAAGGCAATTATTCAACCATTGCAAAAAAGTATTGTAAAATTATATATCCTCTGACTCATATCCTTGAATTAAAATTTATTTCTAAACGTTTGCCTGAAGGGATCAATGAGAGATATGTGCAAAGATTTCTGTATAAAAACATGAATCACTATATATTATAAGTATAATATAGTTTTGTAATAAAAATGTCTATGTTTGGGTGACGGTGTTACTGAGTTGTGCTAAGAAGGTTTTGGACTCATGTTTTATTTGCTGTCTTTTCCTTCACACTTATTTCCAGTGTAGAGGAAGGTCTGACCAGCTATACAAGGCTATGCTCCAAAATGGCTCTTCTGTCCGCTTTCCCATTGCTGTGACAGTCCACGGGGTGGTCACATCAGAAGCATCCTTTCCCCCATGGGAGTTCCTTCTTTCTTTCACTGTCGTGTATGTCTACCTAAGCACACAGCTTCTGGGAAAAAAACTTCACTTTGCCCAGTCTCCCTTGCACCTAGATATGGCCACATGGCTGAATTTTGGCCAATGAGACAGGAAGGAAATGGGGCACTCAGCAAAACATCACAGCCAGCCCTGGGCCCTTCCTACAGGATACAAGGCGCACATGGCGGCTGTATCTTTATTTAGATTTATTTTTAATTGTATGCATGCATGTGTATCTGTGTGTGGTTATGTACACAAGAGTATAGGTGTTTATGGTGGCCAGGGACAATGGATCCCCTGGAGTTGGAGTTACAGACAGTTCTAAGACACCCATCATAGGTGCTGGGAACAAAACTCTGGTCTTCTTAGGGTATAGTATATGCTCTTAACCACGGATCTATTTCTCCAGCCCTAATATGGCGATGTATTTGGAGTCAAAGGGATGATGACGACAACATGTTCAGGACCACGGGAGGCAACATCCAAGCTCCCGAATCACCAAATAAAGTCCCACACTGGGCACACTAAGAGAGGAACGTTAGAGCCAACGCCAAGCCCACCAGACCAGTGTTACAGATCTTATGTATAGCAGGCACAGGGCAGGCTGGAATTCTCTGTTTCCTCTTTGCCCCCAAATTCATTCTATACATATAGCCAGAGCACTTTTCTGAAAATAAAAGTGAGTCCAAGTGGCCCAATTTGATGCCCTGTGTGGTTTCCAGCTGCATAAGATCCCAGTCCTTCTGAACTCAGCCCTGGGCATCCCTTCTGTTATTCTACCAAATATCCCTCAGTGCCTATAAAAATTAGCAAAATCAAAGACATTTCATGAAGGTAACCCCCCTACGCACAAACAAAATATTATTCTACCAACCAACAAAGCTCTAGAAACAACCTAGATACAAGACATAGTGAGTCAGAGTTCAGAATTCACTCCTGGGCTCAGAGGCGGCCACTCGGGGAGACTGCTAGGAACTCATTAGCCCCAAAGCATTTGAATCTAATTCATCTAATACAGTTCAAGGATCAATGACATCTGAACACACAAGCTTCATGTGGAGTGTCATTTGTACTTTGCTGTGGATAACAGAGTGATCACAATTATAGCTAATGTTTCTTACATGCTTCAGGTTGCAGTCCTTCTAAGGCTCCTTCAGTTTGAGTTTGTTTGTTTATTTATTTAGTTTGTTAGTTAATTTATTCAATTTTTGCAACATGGCTTTGCACATACTAGGCAAGCACTCTACCACTAAGCTACATCCTTAATTCCAGCTACTATTTTATTCTTACAACTGGTGACTGTTATTTTTATCTACCCTCTATAGATAACATAGATAAAGCCCATGTAATGTATGGTCTCATAGTAGTGACCAAAAGTTGGGTTTATCATCTTCCTTTATAGGAGGCTTACCAAGACCATGGAGAGCTCAGACCCTCAACACCAAGATAAGCCACCTTCCTCAGTCTTGATTTCCTCTTGTGAAGATGAAGGATTTGTTACAGGTACAGCCCATCCATCACCTTGCAAAACATGTTCTCTTCTTTCCTTGTAACAGTGTTTATGTCATCATAATATTGAAAAACAGATTTCTCATGCTTCCTTATAGCTCACTGTGACCATGTGCACATTTGAACCAAGTGCTCTACATAGTTGCCTGTATTTGAAATCCTTAGTCTATGTTATATGATAAACATTCAGCATATCATCCATAACATTCATATAAAGTAGACCTATTGGTACCACCTAGATTTCATTTTCTAAGTGCAGTCTGAAGAATATTACTTAGAATACATAGAGTCTGCTATCCACAGTCAGTTTCAAGCCCCAGTTTTGTCCCCATCTGGTCTTTACTCTCTGACACCTTACCTTCCCCAAGCTAGGACCACAGAATGGAACCCATTCCCAGTTCCCAGAGTTCTCTCTTACCATGGCCAATGGGATGAGTCTAATCAAATCCTTCTGGCTCACATAGATCTTGGACACCCCCAAGTCGGATGTGATCTCTCCTGGGTATTCAACTTGCCACGTAACGAGCTGTGTGGTGGGTGGGTCACTGGGTCCTTCGATCTCAATGTCAATCTGCATGACTTCATAGGAGGCACCATCCGCACTGTGGAGGAGCAGAGGAGAGCAGTAGTGAGGGATTGAGGGGCAATGTGTCTGTGTGAATTTTTACCTGTACCTGTGTTCATGTATTCCCAGTCACAAGCAATTTCAAACACCATCTGAGTGCTTGGCAGCCCTTTTCAGGGCTCAGACACTCAAAGGTCCAAGCTCCCTCTTCTTTTGAGGTGCTGAGAGTAATTATTGCTGAAAGTTGCTACATTCCCTAAGTGCTCTCCTCCCACCATTCACCCAGGAGGGCTCTTGCCCTCACTTTCAGACACCTCCATACTGTGTTGGCATTTTCAAAGCCGCAGCTAGTAAAATGCACATAATGTTAAGGATGTCTGAGGGTGGCATGGCATTGTGTTCTAGTGGTGGTGAGATGGCATTGCAGGGAAACAGAAGAGAGACATGGGCAAGAGCTCAGGGCCCAGGGATAGGGCTCAGAGCTGATAGGCAAGGAGAAATGGCCAGGCGCCACCTGGAGACAGAAGTCACTGACATAGACACTGGTGTCTATGCATCTCAGTTCCTATAGGTGCGACTCTGAAATAGGTCCAAGTTAGATTACCAGGATTATTTTAGCAGACTGGACCCTATCATTTGCTAGTTTAATTAACTGACTACATTCTGTCTCTTTAGAGTCTGCTTTTTAGAATAATGTCTGCTTTTCCCTGTGACAGGTAAAAAAGAAAATGGTTTCATGCCAGCCAGTCCCAAGGAGGAAATGAAGAAAGCTGTAGGTGAGAACTCACAGAGTGGCTGGTGAGGGTTTTTTTTTTTTTTAAAGAAGCACCACTGAGCATTCTGAATGCTCAAGTTTCACATCTTCACAGAATATCTTTGAACTCTGAAGTTTAGTAGTATTTACTGTGCTATTTTATAAGGTACAAATTTATGGAAGCGTGCTGGTTACAACGTTTATCCGTGAAATGTCTCACTAAGAAGCTCAGAGAGAGCTGTTGTGAACAAATGAGGTTAAGATGGCTGATTAACAGTAGCCTTTCTACACACCGATAACAAGCAATCAGAGAACGAGTACAGAGAAACCCTCCCATTCACAATAGCCTCAAAAAATATCTTAGAAAAAACCTGTCCAAAGACATCAAAGATCTTCACAATGAAAATGTAATCTTTAAAGAAAGAGATTGAGGAAGACACCAAGAGATGAATGAACCTCCCATGCTCATGAATTGGAAGAACTGATATTGTGAAAATGATCATCCTGCCAAAAGCAATATATACCTTCAATGCAATCCCAATCAAAATCCCCATGAGATACTTCACAGAATTAGAAAAAAAATCCTAAAATTCATATGGAAGCACAAAAGACCTTGCTTAGCTAAAGCAACCCTGAGCACAGAGAGCAATGCTGGGGGCATTACTATATCAGATCTCAAACTATATTGTGGAGCTATAGTCATAAAAACAGCATGATGCTGGCACAAAAATAGGCACACAGATCAATGGAACACAATTTAAGACCCAAACATGAGTACACCCAATTTTAGCTACCTGAAAGATGACAAAAACACAATGGAGGAAAGGTTGCATCTTCAACAAATGGTGCTGGAAAAATTGGATATCCACCTATAGAAGACTGAAACTAGATCCTTATATTTCACCTTGCACAAAAGTCAACTCCAAATGGATCAAAGACCTCAATGTGAAACTGGAAACTCTGAAACTGTCAGAAGAAAACATTGACAGTTACCTACAAGATATAGGTGTAGGAAAGGACTTTCTAAATCAGACATCAGTTGCTCAGGAATTAAGGTCAACAATCAACAAATGGGATCTCATTAAACTAAAATGCTTCTATGCAGCAAAAGAAACAATCAAAAAGAGAAAACCCATAGAGTAGGAAAAAAATCTTCACCAGTTACACGTCTTACAGAGGCTTAACATCCAGAATACATAATGAACTCAAAAAACAAAAAACAATCAAGGAAACAAATGACCTAATTAAAAGATGGACTAAAGATCTAAACAGAGAGTTCTCAAAAGAAGAAATAAAGATGGCTAAGAAACATCTTATAAATTGTTCATCATGGTTAATAATTAGGGAAATGTAAATTAAAATCACTTTAAGATTTTATTTTACCCCAGTCAGACTGGTTAAGATCAAAAGAGCAAATGATACCAAATGCGGGCAAGGATGTGGAGAAAGGGGAACACTCATTCACTGCTGGTGGGATTGCAAACTCATGTAACTCCTATTGAAAGCAGTATGGAGAATTCTAAAAAAAAAAAACAAAAATGAGCCTGCCATATGACACAGTTATACCAATGCTTGCATATACCCAAAGGACTGACTTGCCTATTGTAGAGATACTTGTACAACCATGTTTTTTGCTGCTCTTTTCATAATAGCTAAGAGATGGAAGCAACCTAAGTGTTCCTCAACTGACAGATGAATGGTTGACAAAAACATGGTACATTCAAACAATGGAGATCTACTCAGAAGTAAAGAAAGATGAAATAATGAAATTTGCAGGTAAATGCACCAAAACCTTATATGTGAGTATATATCCTGATGTAACTGCAGGAACCAGGGAAATGGAAAGTAACCAGGGAGGTAAAGGGAAAAAAGGAACCTGAGAGAGAAAAATAGTAGGAGACCATCATACTAAGGGAGAAATGTATAAAATGGGGGTAGGGGTAGGGTTAGAGGGAGGAGGGCTATACAAGGAGCTATAGGGATGAAGGCGAAGAAGGAGTGTAAGAAAGATGGGACCATATCAGACAATTATCAGGGGAGAAATGGGGAAAATGGGGACACTTGAAATGGAGAGGGTGAGGATGGAGGGTCAGATGGAGAGAGAGAGAGAGAGAGAGAGAGAGAGAGAGAGAGAGAGAGAGAGAATAAATAAAGCCTAGCTAGTATGAAAAGACAGAGGGAATCATATTAGTCCAAAAACATACTGAAAAATTACACATGCAATATCTCTACATGGTCTATGTGTATAGCTGAAGGCTATAGAACAAGAAACAGGGCCAGACAGGAGATACCTTCCTTTGAGTTGTTGGCCAGGGTAGTCTAAGAGACTCCCAAAATTACACAGGATATTGCCACAATCCTTGACTGCCTCCCGGAACTTGAAGATAAGACCCTGTTGCTGAAGACAAGACATACTTTGGACACAGGATTTGGAGCAATAGAATTGGAACTTACCTGGAAACCGCCTCCCCTGAAGGCTGACTCTCATAGCTTTGGAGAGCACTATGAAAGCTAGTAAGGGAGAAAATGGTTCAACCCCAGCTTTAAGGACTAAAAGCCACATTAATGACCAGCACTAGCACAGAAAATGACATCCCTATACAAACGTAATTTCTTACTTTGTGAAAAAGATGAATCCTTAAATTTACACACAAATATCCCAGTCACCACCCATTAAAGAAGCTTCTTTTTCAACAGATATTATTACAGAGTTCCATAACTGGTCACACACAGAGATTGTCTTTGAACCGCCCAAGTCTAAGTGGAACATCTACGATGCAAACTCTACATCTAAGGCTCGTGGAACATAGAACAAGAGATGAAGAGAACAGTAATGCACCTTTCAATTCTCATTAATGAAGCTCCCTCATGCAACAGAGGGCCAGGAACAGAAAAGTTCACAAACGGCTGAAACATAGAGAATAAGAGTCTAAAAAGTGTGGATCCTTGAACAGGTCTCTTATATTAAAATCCACACACCCAGGGTTCAGGGACCATTGCAGAGGAAGGAGGGGAAAACTGTAAGAGCCAGGGAGTGTATGGCATACCAAAGAACTGGGCTCAGCTCAGGCCACCTGCCATAAGGAATGGGGAAAGGGCTTCCAGTGCAGTCGGGTGTGGCAATGACAACCTGCTGAGAGATGATCTGCCCAGAGACAGACTGCCATTGGATATCATAGGATGGTGTGGGAAACCATGATTAGCTAGCCAACCCCTTCTAACCCCAAATGCTTCGCAGAATAAATGAGTCTGCAGCAGCTTGCCCTCTGCTTGCTTTCACCCAACTCCCGGTGTCTGTGTCATGACTCCGTGCCTCTCACCCCCATATCAGCAGGGACCCTGTGTCCCCCTCTGGTTGGCTCTGGGGGAGGACAGTAACAAGGGAGGAGGTGCATGACCATAGGGAAATAGAGCCTTACGGGCTCCTGGAACTCTTCTCATGTGAACCTACAGCAATGCTGTCAGCATGCATAAGACCTGTGGAAACTCAAGCAGACAAAACCCAGCACAGAACTATGGAAATGGACAGCAGGCCACAAACTTACTCAAAGAATTATTGGCAGCTAATTAATGCTGGGTGAGGAAGAGCTGATCTTTTAAAGGGAGGCTCTAGACTGCTACTCAAAAGTGCCACTCACATTTTGGGTGGCTTTTCCCACATCTATGAAGTCAATTAAAATAATTCCTCAATTGAGGCTCTAGATAGGCTGAGTAGACCTCAGTGGATGAACTTGCATTGAGGGACATCTGGGGACACTAACTTGACACAATAAGCCTTAACACATATAACAAAATGTATGAATTCCACTGGGTGGGCTATGGAAGGATGCCAATGGGAAAGGGGGTATAAAGGCGATTAAGAAAGCATGAGATAGCAGTGCACTATGGGCGATAGCAGTACACTATAGCAACCACCCCGTAAACTCACAACTTCATAAACCAAAAATTAAAGATATTGAACTAGCTGGAATGTCAAAAATATTTCATACTATTACTTTTAAAAGGAGTCAATGACTGTGATTGTTGGTTTTAATGTCAACTTAGCACAAATTAGAGTCACCTGAGTAGAGAACCTCAGTTGAGGAATTATTTTAATTGACTTCATTGATGTGGGAAGATCCACCCAAAACGTGAGTGGCACTTTTGAGTAGCAGTCCAGATAAAAATCTTTTGCTTGTGCAGCCTCTCCTCTCACAACTGAGTTAGCTGCTGCTGCTGGCTCCTTTGCTGACATCAGAGATAAATAAATAACCTAATGATGCATCTCAATTCTCTAGAAAAAA